GGACTCCCCGGGCTCGCCGGCAGTCGGGCCGGAACCGAAAACGCGGGGCTCTCTGCTCCCACACCGCCGGCGGCTGCCCGGGTCACCCGGCTGGACGCTCTGCCGCCGCCGTCGGTGTGTGAAGCCTTGTGGACGCGCCAGGGGGCTGCGGCCTTGCGTAGCCCGTCGTTCATCCAGAACTTGTGTGATGTTGTCGCCTAAGCCGACCGTTGGGTCTGCAGGGAGACCGGTGAAAGAAACGGGCAGCTGTTAAATTTAATGACGGTTTGACCCGAGGAAGGGACTTTTGAAGCGTTTGTCGCGTGAGTCTCTAAGAGTTAAGCCAAGGAGACAAGAGAGAAGCAGCGTTGGGCGAGGACACTTGTCCTGAGTGAGTCGGAGTTGAGTGAGGAGGGCTGTGCCCGGCGCAGCTGTGGGGGCCTGTGCTCGTTGCCGGTTGACCTGGACGCTGCAAATACCGATGGACCAACAGCGGCAGGGTCACGGTCGGGACTGTTGAAAATCGGTTTCTTGTAACATCATTGAGAGAGAAGTTGGGGGCGGAGAAAGGAGGGCGGGAGGCAGCCTCCAGGAGACCCTGAGGGCTGGGAGAGCGCACAGCTGCTGACACTCCACTTCCTGGGCCTTTCAGGGCCCGGCCTGTTGCGAGGCCCGGCTGCGAGGCCCTCCTTCATGGAACACAACAGCGGTCACAGCGCCGACACCCAGGCACAGCAGGCTTGCCTTCCATTTTGTTTTCTAGGCCCCTGGAGGGATTGCCACACCGCCCGTGTACGGCCAGCTTCTGGCTTTGTATCTGCTCCACAATGACATGTAAGTACGGCGCTCGCCTTGAGCGTAGGCCTCGCTGCCTGCGGAGAGGCCGCACTGGGCCGGCCTTACGAGCTCAGATGCCGGCTGCGCGTGTTGAGTTGCTAGTTAATGTGAACACACCTATTTACACATAGTGTCCAACAAGCTTTTCAGTTTGTTACGAGAGCTGTAGGCTCCGTAAAGCCCTTCCTTCCCACGGACGTCTCTTTGTTGTGTTCTAGAACTTTCTTATGTATCAGTAGACTGACAGAAGCTGGAAAGGAAGATTGAAAAGCTGAGATGAACTTACCCCAGTGTGCATGAGATTCCTTGCAAAGTCCTAATTCGTGTCCGTTGAGCAAAGGTCAGAGCACAGCGTGCTTCGCAGTGACCGGTGATGCTTTAAATTCCTGTCTCTCAGAAACCTTTTCACCGCTCGGCTGCGTGTCACGTGAGCGGTCTCTTCTCGTGTTCCTTGCAGTTCAGACTTTCAGGCGCTCGGGGGCGCTCCCGGCCCTCTGCTGGGAGGGTGGTGAGCGAGCGGCCCTGCGTGCTCCCCGTGTTGGGGGGCCAGAACCCCGAGAGTGCACGGCCTTATTTTTACAGAGTAGTAAATTATCTGGGTCTGTGTTTTCAATGTGAGGTCTTTCATGACTTAGAAATCACTGGGAGTGGCAGAATGTTGCTCTGACGGGAAATCCTTCTTAATGTCTCTGTGGAAAGCCACTGTGACTCCCCTGGGCAAACGTATATGAGAACAAACCGCACGTTGCTGCGTGCGTGTAGAATTGTAAATATTTACTGAGGTGATTTTTATTTTTAATGCCTATTCTTTCTTGGGGGGTGTAACTAGGAATAATGCAAGATATCTTTGGAAAAGGATCCCGCCTGCTATAAAGTCCGTAAGTACCTCCCAGCGCGTCTCCCGGCTGCGGCGCGGGCCCACCCTGCGCGCCCCTGCGAGTGCGGCTCACAGAAGGGGCTAAACTGCAAGTGTTGGAGAGTCGCTCTCCACGTCCTCTTTGGAAGAAGAGCATGATCCGAGGGCGGCGGCGCCCGGGCGGCGGGTGGACCCAGGCTGTGGGCGCTTGGTTTCTGCTTGTTCTTTGAACTGACTCACGCGTTTTCCTATGACGATGCCTCGAAGCTGGTCGTGTTTGTAAGAGCATTCTTAAGATTATGGCTGTTCACGGCTTGAAGATTATTTATGGAGGGTTTTAGACTCCCGTTTTATTTCTTTAAGATTGATTTACTCATGCATACAGAACTGGGGGGAAGGCCAGAGGTGTGGGGGTGAGAGGACTCGCAGAGACACAGCGGGGAGCGGGGCAGGCGGGTCTGCTGACAACGTCGCTGAGGGGAGCGGGAGACCGGAGAGGGCTGCCGCGCCCTGGGCCCCTCCCGGCCGGGGGCTGCGGCTGCACAGCCCCGCGCTCTGACCTGTGGCGCCACCAGCGCGGCCCAGACGCCTGTTTAGACGGAAAATGAATGAAATGGCTTCTGGCATTTCCCCAAAATAGAATGAAGTAAATTCAGGGGCTTCACAGTGTGTAACAGAAGTGTGAAGTCGCTTTAAACAAGCGCAGCGCCGTGACCGAGAATTCGCCTAGAGCTCGTGTTCATCGTTGACACGGAGCAGCACATCAAATCAGTGTTTTCACTGCCTTTGTGCCCCAACATCCCGTTAGGCAGCACTGGAGTGTTCCGTCAGCTTCTTGGCTCACATAAAAAGATCCCTCAGTCAGCGTGTTGGTGGTCTTCAGAGTGACCGTCTGTATTTCAGCCGTTTTGCTAATTTGCCTCAAAATTATGGGTGTATGTGATGCGCGCAGATCGGTGACTTACATGTTCTGAATGTCACGCACATGTGAAGTATGACCGTCTCCTAAACCCATGTGCATCAGCCTGTTCTCAGACCGAGTTGAGATATTTTTCTGTCACCTCCTCGTGCCCTGGTGACGCGGCCGCTCTTCGGGCCCTCACATTTTGTGATGACGTCACAGCATCCAGCGTCATTTTGCTAACGGTGGGGCTGAGGCAGAACTTAGATCTTTTGAAGGAAATGTTGAATTCTGTTGGGAGATACATGGGCTATGCCGGCGATAGCCTGAAAAGGAATCTCATTTTTTTGCAGGCGAACTCTGAGCTCGGAGGAATCTGGTCCGTGGGACAGAGAATCTGGCAGCGGGATTTCCCCGGCGTCTACACGGCCATCGGCGCGCACCAGTGGTCCGAGGCGGTGCAGCCCATCATGGAAGCGCTCAGAGGTACGTGCCCGGCCGGCTGCGCGAGATGAGCCTGCGGGCTGTGTCTGCTCGGTCTCTGCCGAGTCCACGGGCTGTGGGCAGTGGCCACCCCGGGGCCGCGCGGCTTGAAACTGCCCTTGTCGGTGAAAGGTTTTGCGTGGGCCGCTTGCTCGTGAGGTCTCGTTTAAGGTGAAGCCGCGGGGTGCTAACGTCTCTAAGAGCCGCGCGTGTGGAAGCAGAGGTGGGCTCGGCTGCGGGTCTGCCGCTCCGGGGCGGAGCCCGAGTGACCACCCGGCCTCCTGGCCCCTCTGGGTGGGCAGCGCTGCCTTGTCGCACCTTCTGCTTGCCGTCGCCTTGTTTGTGGAGAGCGTGCGGCCCTGGAGGGGCCGGTGTGCAGATATTTGGATGAAAAAGTCAGACGTTTTTACTTTAGTGGTTTAGAAACAGCGTTTGAGGCTGTTTTCGCGCCTGGCTGTGGCGCCAGGGCCTAGCTCCGGGAGGAGGCGGACGCGGAACAGCGGGCCGGTGGTGTTGCGGTGGCCAGGATTCCCGGATGGAGGATTTGCCTCAGCATGAAGCAGCAGTGTGAGTGACGAAACAGGAGGTCTGAAGGAAAGGGGCAGGACAGCGGGGTGCTGGTGTGAGAAAGGAGGGGTGCGGGGTGAGGCTGCACAGGTCCGGCAGGGCACTTGGGGACCTTCGTGCAGCCCGCAACCTGAACCGCCCTGGAGCCGGCGCTGCCTGGCGTCCTGGGCTGCTGTGCTGAGGGCACAAGCCGTGCGCCTGCCCGAAGCCTCGGAGGGCCTGGGCGGTCCAGCGGGCGTCCCTGGGCCTCAGCGGCTCAGGCTGTGTTCGTCCCTGGGCCGCCTCCGGCGGGGGCTCCCCTGCAGACCCGGGTGCCTCTGGAAGCCGCCCAGCAGACCCCTGGCACAAGAGCAGGAAACGGGGGCGTGGACTCGGGAGCCGCCCTCTGAGCGCAGGCCCTGGCCCGGCCTCGCCGGGAGCTGCCCGCTGCCCTCCGCTCCACTTCCTCGCGTGCGAAGTGGGACTCGACGCCCCGCTTTGCTCGGCCGGTCCTACGTGACGCCCTGGCGTACGCGGCGCTGCCCCTGGGCTGTGTGCGCCCAGCCAGAGCGAGGCCTGGCTGGGACGGGAGGGCTGCGGTGACCAGGTGACCAGGGAAGGATGGGGGTGGCCGCCACCCTCCGCGTCCGCACGGCCGCGCGCCCGGCAGGTGGGCCGCGCTCTGGAGTATTCAGGCGACAGATGGCCTCCCTCGGGGCCCTGGCCCTGTCTCCCGGGCTGCCGGGGGCACGCTCAGGCCCTGCCCCGCCCCCGCCTGGCGGTCTGATGCGCGTCCCCGGGAGGCACAGACCCCGCAGATCCTGGGGTCACGCTGTGCAGCCGGGGGGCTCGCCCCTGCCCGCCAAGTAGCGCTCACCTGGCCTCGGCCATGGTCAGTGCCCGGTGGCCTCCTGCCTCCTCGCCGTCTGTCTCTCTGCCCCTTCCCGTTCAACTCCAGACTCTGACCCCACGTGAACCGAGGGCGGCGCCGGGGCATCAGCCCGGCCCAGCTGCCTGGCGGTGCTCTGGTCTCGCTCTTCCGCTCCTGCTCCGGTGCTTGCCGGACTGCAGCCGCGCAGGCAGAGCCCGTGACCCCGTGACCCCTAGCAGCCCGGCCAGTGTGTGAGCCGCGTGCGCGCTCATCCGTGCTTTGCGTCTCCCCGGCGGGCCCGGGCATCTGAGACTTGCCCGGCCTCGCCGTGAGAATTGGGCGGGGGCCACGACGGCGCCGGTCGCAGATGCCGCCCCGCTCACCGCCCCCTCACCCGCCAGACGCCACGCGGAGACGCGCCTTCGCCCTGGTGTCGCAGGCCTACACCTCCATCCTCGCCGACGACTTTGCTGCCTTCGTGGGACTCCCTGTGGAGGAGGCCGTGAAAGGTACCGCCCTCACCGTTCACTCGCACGGGAAACAGCTGGGGTCCGCCTCGGCCGGGGGCCGGGCCGGGGTGGGGGGCTGCACGCTCACCCGCGAAGCCAGCAGCGGGCACGGGCGGCCGGCGCGGACAGGGTCTGCCCAGGTGAGTTTGGAAAGAAGCAGTTTAGGGTTCTTGGACCGGGATGTTGGCCTCTGGGCCAGGGTCAGCACCCGTTTGTACGGGCTTGTGGAGGAGCCAGGCCGAGGGCGCTTTGCCGATTCACGGTGTAAGCGCTGCAGACGCCGCTGGCCTGCTAGCGCTCCGCCGGGCGCTTCCAGCTCTGACCGGCTTCCGCTGGGCTCCGCGCACTCCCTCCCTCCCTCGGCCGCGGCGTGTGGCCTCTGGCACTGGCCGACCCCGGGCAGGGCGCTGGCACGGCTGTTGGCCGTGGCAGGAGGCGGAGGGAGACCGGCGTCACGGGGACGAGAGCCGGCGGGGCTGCAGCAAGCGTGGTCAGTTCCCGCGCGGCGCCCACCAGCGGGAGCACACTGAGCTGCCAGGCTCGGAGGGCTGAGCCGACAGCCTGAGTTCGCAGTCACGCCAGGCCTGAGAGCTTAAAGTGGTTTCTTTCTCTGAAAACCCACATGCTGGTGGATCGCCCTTGGCTGCTCGTGCGGCGAGTCAGTGCTCGGTGGCTGCCTCAGGGCTCCCATTCGGAAGCCCGGGCCCCGCTGGTGCTGAAGGCCGCCCCGCGCTTCCTC